GTGGTTGCACTATTTTACACTCCCACCAACAGTGAATAAGGGTTCCAGTTTCTCCACAACCTCACCAGCATTTGTTGCTTGCTGTTCTGTTAAATGTTGCTATTCTGCCTGGGGTGAGATGGTATCTCACAGTTATTTTGTGGAATTTTCTTTTTAACTATGAAAACAACATAATCCTTATTCTCTTTTTCATTCCAGGCAGAGTATACCGTGTTACTGAAAAGACCTGACTTCAGGTTGGTGCTGCTCTGAAAGAAGGGGCCCCGCAAGCAATGGCAGTATTACAAAAAGAGGCCTGAAATGTCACATTATTCCTCTTCAATTAGTCATTTCCAGCACAGTAGGTCATGTGATAATCTGAATAAAAATGGCTAATACCAGTCCATCTCACCTGACTAATATGTAGGATGTCAGATTTTGTGTGCCATTTTATTTTTTATAACTTCCTATTATCTTAGAGTCATGCATTGTACATTCTATATTCCAAAGGATGTTTGTAGCTCTTTCTCCTCATTTTCAGTCTTGCCACATCAACAAATGAAGGCTCTTCATTGTGTGAAAACTCTTCTACAACAGTGTCACTATGGGAGACTTGAAGCTGAGGAGGCAGCTTTTTCCCAGTTGCAATTTTTAGTGTCTTCCAACCTGAGGCACTATATCCACCTCTTCTGGCACTATATCCAACAATGCCATCCATCCAAAATAATAAGCCTTTGAAAATCCCACAGACAATGATACAGCATCCAAGACAAATTTGTATGTTCTTTGGGCAGTACCTGAGCTATTCAATACTCTTCCACGACATCTCAATTCAAAGGCATTTACTCTTTGGCCTTATTTATTGTCCAAATTTCAGATGCATAAGAAGCAGTTGAAAAGAAATGGTTTGGATTAGTCTCACCCTAGTCTTTAAACTTACATCCTTGCTCATAGCACTTTGGAGAGGTCTTAGAGAGCACATTTTCCCAATGCAACACATATTTTGATTTCTTCACTGCTGTTACCATGAGTGTTAATTTTGGATTGAAGTAAAATGAAATTGTTGATGATGTTAGTCTTTTCCATTTGCCATGAAGTTTCCTGTTGGCTCAGTGATAAGGATTTTTATTTTCTTGATGTAAACTGTTTAAGAGGCTGAATTGACTTTGTAGGACAATGAAAATAAACATTTCAGTTTGATTCAGAAGGGAGTTTTAGGCTCCAGGTCATCCCATTTCAGCTTTGCTAGTAGTTCAGTTTGTTTGGTTCCCCCCCAGGTTATGAATGTTTTCTTTTCAACATAGAAAAAGCTTGGCGGTGGGTATGTGGTAATTTGCTATTTTTATGACTAGGAATTTTACTTTAGATTTTTATCTTATGGAATGTAAACATACACCCACGCGTGACTAGGAAATTCTTATAAAAATCAGCTTAGTCACTAAAAGAAGATTCACTATGTGAACTTTCTTCCACATATTTTTCGCCTCCACTGTCAGGCACCGGAGCATCTGGTTGTTTATGAAGATCTGAGTCTAGGTCTTTTGATGTAATTTCCTTTCTTACTGCCAACACTGGAACACCCACTTGCACCATTTTGAGATATTGAACATATCTTGGATCCTTGGCTACACTTAAGATATTTTTTGCTTCTACTTCACTTCCCTGTGGTCCAGAGTCTTGCTGTTCTGCTTTGATTGCACAGAAGTGGCTTCAGATTGTGGTCCATTTGTGTGTGACACGATTACTTATAGGAGATATTTAAAAAGTGATATCATTTAGTTCCAAAACAGAAAGCAACTTTGCATCTACAATATTGAAAGTTGTTTCAATTTGTTGGATTCAAAGAGAAAGGTCTGCCAGTTTCTGCTCAATAGAAAAAAGAGGTGAGAGAGAGACACACACAGACAGAGACACAGAGTGAGAGAATCACACACACACACACACACACACACACAGAAAAAATTGGTCCCAAGGAACAAATGGGCCTTTATTAAGTGGACCTGAGAGGGATGCCAGGTGAGCTCTTGAAGAGAAGATCAGAATGGCTGACAGACAAACAAAAGCAGTTCCTTTTTTTAGGGGCTTTTAAAGAGATTTAGAGGGGATGGTAGTTTGCTCCGGAATTTGAGGGCAAGGGTCCTGTCAGTTTGTAATTAGGCCCAGGGCCTTATCAGGTTCTGGTCATCCATCCCCCTTGTCAGGATATGGTCAAGCCTTGTCAAGACATAGGCCTCCTCAAGGAATGTTAAGGCTTGGGGGTCAGGCCTAAGGGATCTGCCACATTCTTCCTCCAGTTCTTCTCACACATTGTACAAAGTGGTTGAGGAAACATACTGTATGTACCACAGATTGGCTTAGAAATGTCATTGCTCTTTTCTGTTGAACAGCTGCCACCTTGCTTGGGTCTCTGTCTGACCTGGTGAGAGGAAGATGGTCCTCATCCCAGTAGTTTTGTTGGTTTTATTTTTAAATTAATTTCTTAGTATTTTTTTCTTTTTAAAAAATTATTAGTACTTTTTAAATTTTTATTTTATTGTGGTTTACTTTCAAAATATACATTGTTTTTCACACTGGATCTTTCCCATTTCCTTTATCCACCCTCTCTCCACCCATCAAACTGTATGACCTATGATTACTACCCCCCTACACCTCCCCTGCCTCGCCTATCCTCACCACTTGGCTCCCACCCTCCTCCCCTAAGATCCTCATACTCATTCTACAATAATGGTCTTATACAATATTTGTCCTCATGGGACTGAGTTAGTTCACTTAGCATAATACTCTCTAATCTCTCCCAAGTTAGGTAGTGATTTACAAAACTCAGTGCTCCTGGGTGCTGTGTAGTATTCCATTGTGTGAAATGTACCATAATGTATCAATCCATTTGATAGTGCTTGGCCATTTGGGCTATTTCCATGTTCTTACAATCGTGAATAATGTTACTATGAATATTGCTGTATAAATCTCCTTTTGTGCCTCAGTTCTCATTTTCTTGGGATATATTCCAAGCAGTGGAATTGCTTGATCATATAGAATTTCTGTGTTCAGCTTTCTGAGGAAACACCAAACTGCCTTCCAGAGTGGTTGTACCATTTAACAATCCCACCAACAGTGTATAAGAAACCACAATGAGATACCATCTCACTCTAGTAGCAGTGGCAAAGAGAGAATGTGGCATGAGTATG